GGTGTCTGCCTGGGCTGTGCTGCCCCCTCCCCAGGGGCATGGCTGATTGCCAGTGGCACTGCCAACCGAAAACCCACTCATGCTTCATGCAAAGAATATAAAACCACTGGGCCACTTTACGCAGGTGGCGGGGGTGGTTTCATTTCCCACTAAAAAGCAAATTGCAGAGGGGAGCTGTGATCTACAAAGAAACTTTATGCAACTGTTGCATTTTATGCTGGAGCCAGTGAGCAGAGTGTTTTGAATGGCTTGGTGCCATGGGGAGGGGGGAGGAAAGGGTTCTGAGGAGTTGCAGTGAGGAAAAGAACCTTTGCCAATCTCAGTGACCAAGACACTGTGACCCATTGACCCAGACATTGCTCCTGATGGGCTCCTTTCCAACTGGCCGACAGACATCCTGACCCTCCAGGACACTGCCTGCCCCTTCCCTTGCATTGGGCCAGGCACAAGCCTTGGGTCTGGCATATATCTGAAGCCGCAGTCACCAGGGAGGACCATGAAAAGTGTCTTCCCTGGTAAAAAATTAAAGCTCAGGTGGGGGCTGAGGGGCTTGCACACTAGAAAAAATGTTATGATGCCTGCATGCTAGAGCCTGCATCCTGGAACCGGACAACACCACACTGGTTTAAATGGCAAATCATGTGCTTTGTGATGGGCAAGACTCTGGTCAGTGATATCCAGAAGATTCCCCTGGTAACACAGAGGCATAATGTTGTGTGGCCCAGAAAGTATTTGCAGCCATAATCACAGCCAAATAGCCAATTCCTTATTTGAGCCAATATACTTAGCACAGCCTAATTTTTCCTCCAATGTCATGTATTTGCTCACCACAGTCACCTCTGGACTGGGACCTTGTTAAACCAGCCCTGAAACAAAAATATGTAAGAGTGGTTTTAGATGGAGAAAAGGGAAGACAATTTGCCACTGTTTGGACTTCAGGAATTCAGGTGATGTCAAAGTATGATCTGTCCACATTCTCTTCAAAATACTTGAAAATGAAACCTGAAGATGACCTTTTATTCTGTTTGAAGTCTTCATATTGTACTATAACAGGCTATGCACTTGCTCATTATTCAGCAGAGTTATTTCTCATATGTGGACTGGTTCTGCTACTAGAAATCATCAATAATGTCTTCGCCTTCTTAAATTTAACCTATATTAACTTTGGATTATATTAAGATACCAGTACCTTCCTGGAACTTCAACCCAAGCAAAATATAAGAACTGAATAAGGAATGTTAGGATATTTCTAATTTATTTTTTTTCTAAGTGTCCTAGCTGTAGACTCTCATGAAACCAAATAAAGTGCAAAACTAGAGAGCTTGGCAGTTAATGCTTTTTGGAAAAATGAATTCTGAAATCTGTTCTGTCTCTCATCTAGCTATTATTGTGAAAATACTACAGACCCCCTGAGACTCTCTCTCTCCCAGGAAAGTTAGGCACCATGTATGGGTGCTAAATGCTGAGAAAACATCATGGCAAGAGGTGCACCTCTTAAAAACTAAATTGTAGCCATGAACAGGTGTTTATTTCTACCAGTGGAAGTTTCTGAGAATTTTCCACCACTAGAAATCATTCTGAGTGAGGAAGCTTACAGACATTCAGCTTGCAGGGACCCCTTCTCTTGCTCTCTCTACCTTCACAAGACTGGGGTGATCCTGATGTAAGGAAGGCAAAGAGAGCAGTGCCTGCTCCACTCCTCCCAGTCTCTGGTGGGAGTGAAGTAGTGGGGAAGGACTCCCCCCACATTTCCCAGACTTGGGTTCAGGGAATGAGCAGGGAGCAATCTCCTCCACTCTGCTCCCTGTCTTTGAGAGTGGAACAGAGGGGGCACTGGGGCAAAGCCACCAGCCTCTCTCCAAGACATCTAGTACCTGGCTTGGGGAAGGAAAAAGGACCAGCAGGAACTGCTCCCATCCGTCCTGGACCAGTCTGGAAGAGGAAGGAGCAGTGAGGTCAAGCCTCCAGCCCTTCCCAAAACTGTTTCACGTTACATGTGAAAATTTTTTTATGGCTGATTTGTCATTTTATATACTCATATGTAGCACCCTTGTCATTTATGCCACAATTAACATGGTAATCATGACACGTAAATGAGGCCTTAGAACCCCCACGGGCACAACAGAAAACTAAGTAAAGATAACTTTTAGCCATCTGTTCTTTCCTGTTAACAGTTGACCCTGGCTAATAACAATACATAAACCTCTTCATATAATGTATGCATGCAGAGCAGAGAACATAGTTCCAGATTATCTGATTTATTTAATCAGTTAAAGTACATTTCTGTTCTATATTCTGCCAAACTCTTGTATAGTACCTTTCTTTTGTAGATTCCAGAGCACTGGCCGATTTCAGAGGGGGCACAAATGCTCTCCATGCCCCCCTAGAAGCAGCAGCGTTTGGTGTCGGGGGGGCACCAGTGCTCTCAGGAGGAGCACGTGCCCCCCGGTACCTCCTGCTACACGTCGTCTATGAAGCAGTGGCTGCTCCAGGAAAGAAGGCAGCTGCCACTGCTCTTTGCCTCTTCCCCAAACCAGCCACTGCTCACTTTGAGGAAGGGATTGGGGGCTTTAGCTCACTACTCTCTTTCCCTCTTGGCCCAGTCTGGGAGGGGAGAAGTGGGGCAAGCTCCCCCTAGCCCCTTCCCCAGATAAAGGGCCCAGATTTGGGAATAGGCAGGTAACAGTGAGCAGATGCTCCTCTGTTTCACTCCCAGCCTCAGAGAGCAGAGCAGAAGCAAACCCCCCTGCCACACAGAACCCCTGATGTGAAAAGCAGGCAGGGGGTGGCAGTGCTCCTTCTCTTCATAAGCAGTGGGGGAAAATATTATTTGGGGGGGAGCTGAGTCCCATTTGACACCTGCCCCTCCCTCCCACAGGGCTGTTGAGGGGCCAGCACACACTGGTGCTATACATGGCAGCGGAGAAGCGGCTGCATGCTGAGCTGCACCAGGCACTGCGGGATGGTGGTGCCATGGTGCTGCTGCTGTAGTTGGCCACCGCAAAAAGTTGGGGAGGACTAAGCCCCGTTAGCCATGGCCTTCCATCACCTCAGCTCCTAGGCACTGGGAGCCAATGGACTGAACCCTGTGGCAAAGCCCCACCTACTCCATACACTTGGCACTTTACTGTGAGAAGCAGGTGGGTGCTTTGCCCATTTATTCCAAGGACAGCCTCCTCAGGCCTAGTTTCCAGCCCTGTGAATGCCAGAAGAATCTAACAGGGACAGGGACCAGGCTTGGGGAGCCTTTCCCTATGCCACCTCTTCCCAAAATTAGAGACTGCAGAGAGGTAGGGAACAATGGATGCTGCTTCCCTCACCTTCCAGACCAATTCCAGAGAGGAGGGGAGGGGAGAAAAGCAACAGTGCAATAGTACAAAACCACCTGATCCTTACTCCAGGGACTCTGGTGTGAGAAAAGGGCATGCATCTGGCATACCTCTGCTCAGCTCCCAGTGCCCAATGGAGGGAGCAGTGGTGCAAAGCTCCTGCCTGTTTATCAAACTGGGGGCCTTGATATATGAGAAGCCAACAGGGTCCTCTCCTCCCATCCTGGTCTACAGGAAGGGCAGAGGCAGCTGCCCCTTATGCCTTCTCCAGACCAAGTGATCCCAATCTCAGGAAGGCTCAGGAGCCTTTTCCCTAGCTCCACTCTTCCTCACCCCCAAAAAGTGTTAAGCTGAGAGAAAACATACAAATATGAATCTCTCCCAGGAACAACTTCTCACTGGCTGAAGTTGGCTTATCTTTCTCCCAGAACTGCTATTTTTCGTCTGGAAGAAAAAGTACAAATGTTTTTACACAGAGCAATTCATCCCACAGAAACTGAACCTCCTTTACATGACCCAATATTCTTCAGTTATGCCATCAGGATATAAGAGAACCAAAGCTCTAACATTACTACTACAAAAATCCTTAACCCTAATATAAACTAATTAAAACTACTTTAGGCATGTATAAATACTATGTATTTCTAAAACGCCTATCTGATACACCCATAACTGAGACTGTGAAGAGGAAATGCAAAGGAAAGGAATAAGGTGGAATACTTTGGCAATTATGGAGGCACAGCTAATGAGACTCTCTTCCAGCTTGTACCTTTTACAGCTTTCTTCAAAAAAACATTTTCTACTATTTAGGATGCACTGTTATCTAGAGGTTAAAGCAAAGGATGCAGTTTCCAAATCTTCTACTGCCACATTCTTTTACCTTGCACTTGTGAGCAACCTAAACACTCCATGTCTCCTCTTCACCAAAAGTAATTTGGGGATAGTTATATTTACCTCTGGGAAACATTCTGAGATCTTCTGATAAGAAAACCTGTACAACTTCAAAGGTGTTGTCCTGTTTTTTCTAAAACAAACTCAACTAAAAAAAGGTAGGAAAAATCAAGTCTGTTCTGTCAGACTAAAAAAAAAAAGGCAACAATAAAACTAGAGATTATGAATTTTACAGAATTCCCTTTTTTCTGTGACCTACTACTCTCGAAAATAACAGACCTGTAAGGCAAGAATGCTCAAAAAAATAAACAGGAATACAGAATCAATACATCCTGAAAACTAGCTTAAAGTATGCTCAACAAATAAAAAGGACGGGAACTAAATGACAATAAAATAAAAGAAGATAGATTTAGTTATACCTAACTCAAGTTGAAATGAATGAATGAGATTCACCAACAACCATGAAAAAAAGAAATTGACAGTCAAGGAACGTTAGATGCTTTATGTACCAAATATTTTATGTACCTATGTCTCCTTTCTCTGCTCTGCAGAAAGTTTTCTCCTAATTTCTGAAAGATTGGAGACATCAAGCTTAAAGGCCTAGTGTATCATTTCTTGGTTTTCAGGGTGGATAAAACTGCCACTTACCAAAATGCTAACTCAATTGAGCTACTTTTGGTCATGTACTTAATACTTAAAATATAGCTAAGTTTTCTCAAGTAACATTCAAGCTTAGTTACCTTTTAATTAAATGACACAGTGAAAGATAGGTTTGCTTACCTTTTAATATCGCTAATGAGCCTGTTTTTCTCCTGGACCACTTGCTTATGGTGCATTCGATGGAAATCACGTTCTTTCTGTATTTTTAGCAGAGCCTCCTTTGCTTTGCTGCATAAAAAAATAAATGTGAAAGAAACTGCTGCTAACCTCTTTGGTAACTTTTGTTTTGTGGGGTCTGTTGTGAACTTGTAGATATGTGTACCTACAAACCTTGAGTTGGCAATTTGTCATTGTAATTCCTGCTGGGGCATATCTGTATTGGTCACTTAGATTCCTTTCTGCTTTAATACCTTAGTCTCAGAGATAAGGGCCAGATCTGCATATGCGGGCATGTGATATCTCTTTAGCCCTAGCATTGCATGTTAAACTGTGGACGGTGCTGCTAAATTACACGCCAGGGCAAAATTTGCTAGTGGGATTTCCTGGTAGCAAAAAAAAAAGGAAACAAAAAAAGAACCTTGAAGAAAAAAATGGTAAAAAGCATGCCAAAGTAGCATGAAAGTGGACAAATGCAGAGAAAGGGAAGCAGACAGCCTAGGCCTGCCTGCTCCCCATCTCTGCATGCTGCAGGGCCCCCACACTGAGGCACCCTGATCAGCAGCCAGCCACTCCCCAGCTGCCTGGGGTGCAGTATGCCTTGAGATAGGGGAGCTGGCAGCCTTGAGCCGGCTGCTTTCCTGTCTTTGCACTCCTCAGTGTGGGTGCTCCACTGTTGAGCCCCCACACTGAAGCATGTGGAACCCTTGCATTGAGGCACACTGCACCCCAGCCAGACACAGACCAGATGGCTGGGACACAGGGTACCTCAAGCACAGGGGCTCTGCAGCACGTAGAGACAGGGGAGAAGGCAGCCCTGGGATGCCTGCTTTCCTGTCTCCATGTGCCACTCCCCAGCTAGCTAGAAGCACACTGAGGCACCCTGTGCCCCAACCAGCCCCCCTTGCAGCATATGGAGCAGCAAGACAATACATTGCACTGCAAAACACATGGGCAGGGGCATACAGTGAGGCACAAAGTAGTGACACAAATTTGTGTCACTACTATTTATGCCGCTGCAAACACAGGCCCCTGCTCACATGGACATGGCCAAGGAGTTACACTCAGGCAAATTTTATGAGATACAAAACTGTTACAAAGCACTGGCTTGCTAGCAGTCAGTCAGTGACATAGTGGGGGTGGTCTGTTCAACAGCCTGCCTCTGAAGATTGGGCCTTCCCATGAGTCTTTATAGAAATTATATAATGTTCAACCAATCAAAACAAGACATGCTTCAGTCTTTTAGCAAGTATAGAAGTTCTACCTTTCCTACATTAACTATATTATCAGTCTATACTAATCTAAAAATGTGGTCTGAATAGTTTAGTACACTGGTATAAACATAAACCTACTCAAGCCCAGCTTTTTTAGCAAAGTCTACTACACTTATTTGCATAAAAAGTAAGCATGGAAGAAACTGTTACTGTACTTCCTCTGCAACTTCTTGGGTGATGTGTTGTGCACTTGTAGGTGTTTATGCCTATCGAACTTGAGTTGGTGACTTATAGTAATAGATCTCACTGGGGCAGCATATCCTAATGTCTCTGGGTGATGGCATGAAGAAAGACAGTGCTCTTTTATTCCTCTTCAGTCCTTTCATACTCAAATTCATGTACATTTATACAGTGAATGACTGGGCATGAGCATGTGTAGCAGAAATGTGTGCGTATGTGCATGTGAGTGTGTACGGATATGTGCATGCATGTGTTGTATGCACACACACTCAAGTATACAACAATTACACAAGGTGTAAGTAAACATTTTCTTTTGAGCAGTTGCATTTGTATGAATTCACCTTGCGGGTGATAAGCAAACATTACACCTGTGGCAGTAAGGTTTTGGAGTCTATTTTAAGAAAGATAGGAGCATGGAGCACTATCCAAATTCCATGCCACATACAAAGGCCAATGAGATGGCATAATATTTGGCAAACATAAGGACTGATAACATTTACTGACTTGAAAATGGAATAATTGGAAAGTCTCTAAGAAAAGCAACAGAGAACTGTGAAAAACCTGTAAATTTGTCCTGGGCTTTCAGCTTGGATATGTCATTGTAGGATTTTATGCAAACGATGGTCCTTTTCAGAATTGTGAAGGCACAGCCTGTTTCAGCAGAAACCACAAAAACCTTAGGTAATCTTTTGATCTGTGAATGTAAAGTGTGCCCCCATATATATGGGGGCACACTTCTATATATATATTGCAATCACAGAAATATCTTACAAACAGAATCAAAGAAAAGTAGGGCTACTAAGAACCTCAGGCGGTTATCTAATCCAGATCCCTTGCTCAAGGTAGGATCATCCCTGTCTAAATCATCCTAGACAAGCGTTCATCTGAATTACTTCTAAAAACTTACAATATTTGAGATGCCACAATCTCTCTAGGTGTCCTGTTTCAGTGCTTAACTATGCTTATCTACACAAGCTGTTAATAGAATGTTGCACTTGTCCTTGATAAATTTAATTTGATTAAATTCAGACCATTTCTATACTTTATCAAAGTTTTTCCGGGAACCTAATCTTACCCTCCAAAGTGTCTGCAACTCCACCCAACCCAATTCTGTCATCTACCTACTGGACATAGGTACTTTCTCCCTTAATTCTGGGGAGAACTAGGGGAAAAATTGGTAAGTGAATTACCATATACATTCAAATAAAAGATGACCCTGAACATAAAATGACACCCTCCCCCGCCCCCCAATAATTAGATACTATATGTGGAAAGCGTATACATTTGTTATAAAGTTTCCAAGTATAGAATCTAAGTATGGGATGTTTACCTGGAATTTGTTCATCTTTCACTGCTGCAACAGGGAAAATAAATCTGGAGGAGGGAGGTCAGGTGGCCCCTTTGCCCTCCACTCCCATCCCCACTTCTCCTTGCAGCCCTTCCAACCCACACCACCCTTACTGTCAGACCATGCTCTCCCTGAGCACATGGAAGTGAGAAGCAAATCTGAGAACACTGACCCTGAAATAAACATTAATATAGTAATTTGTATATAGCTATTGACTTAGTTCATGAAAAATTGATGCATTTTACCTTTTGACCTTTTTGAAACTGCTGAAAGTTTTAGCACAGGAATATACTATATATATAGATGTGGGTTTGAAGTGTACTCTGTTCAAGTTTGCAGATGATATTAAATTGTGGGGTAAAGTGCACATTCCGGAAGGGAGGGAATGATTGGAGGCAGACCTGGACAGGTTAGAAAAGTGGGCAGTACACAATAGGATGCAGTACAACAAGGACAAATGTAGAGTGCTCTACCTAGGGCACAAAAATATCCAGCACACCCTACTGGCTAGGAAATTACCCTCTCAGCAACACAGAAGTGAAAAGAGATCTTGGAGTCATAGCAGACTCCAAGATAAACATGAGTCATCAGCGGGACAAAATCATCAGCAAAGCTAACCACATTTTATCATGCATCAGCAGTTGCATAACAAACAGAACCAAAGAGGTGATACTTCCACTCTATGCAGCATTAGTCAGACCACAGCTGGAGTACTGTGTCCAGTTTTAGGCACCATACTTCAAGAAGGATGTTGATAGACTTGAGAGGGCTCAGAGGAGGGCTACTTGTATGGCTACCGGCTTGCAGGACAAGCCCTGTGAGAGACTGAGGGACCTGGACCTCTTTGGCTTCCACAAGAGAAGGCTGAGAGGTGATCTTGTGGCTGCCTACAAATTCATTAGGGGAATGCAGTGAGGGATCGAAGATACTCTGTTCACCAGGGCACCTCTTGGGGTAACAAGGAACAATGGTCACAAATTGACAGAGAGCAGATTTAGGCTAGATATCAGAATAAAACTTCTTCATGGTAAGAGTGGCCAAAATCTGGAATGGGCTCCCAAGGGAGGTGGTGCTCTCCCCCACCTTGGGGGTCTTTAAGAGAAGGCTGGATAGGCATCTGGCTGGGGTCATCTGACCCCAGCACTCTTTCCTGCCCAGACAGGGGTCAGACTTTATGATCTGTTGAGATCCCTTCCGACCCTAGCATTTATGAATCTGTGAATGAATATTTTTTGATGTAGCAAAACAAGTAAAATATACTTGTTGCATG